CATTGATTTAAATGCCATTTCATTGCATTTCACTGCATATCTCATTCACTCATTGAGTGCTTGTATTTCTCACATCACATCTCAAACACTGTATTCTCTATGACTCCCAACCAAACCCTCTCTCATCACAAACATCAGTATTAAAGTTATACCAAAAGTATTGCACAACTCTTTTACATTACAGTGACTGTACTGTAAGTACAGTCTATTATAGGTTTTAGAGACCAAAATGATTGGTTGGCGTAAAAATGCGCGAAAAAATTGGGCGCAAAACCATTGTATAGTAGAGTGTATTGTATTCACACTTCATATCACATACAATACACTACTATTGCCAACAAAAGCATTGATAATAGCAGTCAATACAACCGCAGTGTCTCTGTGTCTGCAATCATCACCACAAACACATCCACAGACACACCACACAATATATAGAGTCGTGTCAGTGAGTGGCCACACATTGTCTCATATAAGAGAAGTGAGACCAACGACAACGGCGACGATCACCAGAAGTGCCAATTGGTCGCCACGAGTGACAGCCAACTGATCCCAGCCATCGACGGCAACGCATACTTCGCCACCAGTTGTTTGGCCACTCGTTAAGGTGTCCATCACGTGCTGACCACCCGATAGCACGTGTCTGTCTGTCTGTGTGTTGGCGTATAAGTTGTCCGGCAATACACGTCCCGTCGGATCCACGAAGAGTCGAGTCTTGGTTTCTGAAGACTATGTTTCTGAAGACATTATCACTGCATTTGATCCATACATTATAAATGGATCCGTTAATAGAATATTTTGTTAAATTAATTATCAAATTTCTGTTTTTTGTATTTTTTGGTTTTTATTGCTATTTACGTTTACAAGACTATCAAAAACAACAAAAATTCTTTAGACATGAGACCAAAACGACAGACAATTCTTATTATCAACGAATACACCGCAAGAAGAAAGCCGAAGAGGAGAAGAGAGCCGAAGAGGAGAAGAGAGATGAAGAGCAATAGAGAGCCGGCAGAACAGGTGTGACAATAAATAAGCACTTATTTTTACGTATAATTTGCTGAACAATATGTTTACAGATAATTCTGGAGAACTACGCCTTTCCCGGAGTTTTGCTCATCGGAACCGATAGTCACACCGTAAACGGCGGCGGATTAGGCGGTCTATGCATTGGTGTCGGCGGTGCCGACGCTGTGGACGTAATGGCTGACATTCCGTGGGAACTGAAGTGTCCGAATGTGATTGGCGTTAGGCTGACGGGTAAACTGAGCGGTTGGACCTCTTCTAAGGATGTGATCCTTAAAGTGGCCGACATATTGACAGTAAAGGGCGGAACCGGTGCTATTGTCGAGTACTTCGGACCGGGTGTGGACTCGATCTCATGCACGGGAATGGGAACCATATGTAATATGGGCGCAGAGATCGGCGCCACCACTTCTGTGTTTCCCTACAACAGCCGAATGAGAGACTATTTGGCGGCCACTAATCGCGAGGAGATCGCCGACGCGGCCGATGGGAACAAAGACCTGTTGACCAGCGATTCCGGGTGTAAATACGATCAGGTGATTGAAATCGATTTGTCCACTTTGGAGCCGCACGTGAACGGACCGTTTACTCCCGATTTGGCGCATCCCATCTCCAAATTGGCCGCAAACGCCAAAGCGAATGGATATCCCATCGATGTTAAGGTGGGACTCATCGGCAGCTGCACTAACAGCAGCTACGAAGACATGAACAGATCGGTCAGTATTGCCAAACAGGCGATGAAACACGGCTTAAAGTCTAAGTCGATATTCACTGTAACGCCCGGTTCGGAGCAAATCCGCGCCACCATTGAGAGGGACGGACAGGCGGAAGAGTTGCGCAAATTTGGAGCTCTTGTATTGGCCAACGCTTGCGGTCCTTGTATTGGCCAATGGGATCGTAAGGATGTGAAGAAAGGCGAGAAGAACACAATCGTCTCGTCCTATAACCGCAACTTCACGGGTCGTAATGACGCCAATCCGGCCACTCATGCGTTTGTCACTTCACCCGAATTGGTGACCGCACTCGCGATCGCCGGTCGACTGGACTTTAATCCTCTCAAAGACGAACTGACCGGCGCTGACGGCAAGAAGTTTAAACTGGATGCGCCCACCGGTGACGAGTTGCCGTCGCGTGGCTTCGATCCCGGACAGGACACATATCAGGCGCCACCCGTTGACGGAAAGGGCATTTCTGTGGACGTCGACCCCAAGAGTAAACGCTTACAACTGTTGGCCCCGTTTGACAAGTTTGATGGAAAGGACTTAACAGATATGGTTGTCCTCATCAAAGTGAAGGGCAAGTGTACAACAGATCACATCTCAATGGCCGGACCGTGGCTTAAATATAGGGGTCATTTGGACAACATCTCCAACAATATGTTTATTGGGTTTGTTTTT